CACACTCTATACAAAAAAATCATATAGAATACAATGTAAATAAATATTTTGTTTCTGTTTTCTGTAGTAGGGGGAAGAATATAAAAATATTGAGCACAGGACAAAGCAAAAATGTATTCAGGTTGTTTTGAAAGGTTATGCATTTCCTCTTTTGAGGAAGATAGAACAACTGATGCAAGGTCAGATAAGGCAGGTTAGGCACAAATAAGGGGCAATTTTCAAGAAAAGCTATGGATAAAAATAGCCGCTGGATTTTGTACCTGGTCTCCCACTTTCATCCCTGAGCATGCAGCATCATAGAGACAGGAAAGCATTAATGCTTTTTCTTTAGCCCTTACTGCCTTTGATACTTACTCTTCATCTTCCAGGACTTATATAGTCTTACATTAACCTACTACACTTACTCTGTTTTAGCCCTCATGCAAAACCGGTCAGTTTAGTCTCCCCACAATCACATTTTGCTGCACAACTCTGACAGAATTAGACCTAAAGGTAGACATTCTGCAGTGCTCTCACTTGAACAGCTGTAAACAATTTCCCCAAACTGCATCCTCTTGCCATGTACAGAGGATATCTTTAAGCAAATAAAAAAGAACCAAGGCAAATGTAGCACAAGAAAACTAATGTCTTCTTTCTTGTTCCCGTCAACGTTATAGGCCAGGACAAAAAAAAGAGAGACCCAAGATGTTTCTGAAAAAACAATATGCAGTAGAACATCAGTGATATGCTCAGTTTTTCAGGAGGCTGGTCCCATCTGGTGGAAATTATTACTTCTTCCATTTGGATCAGAACACAAAACAGCTGAATTTTTACTAACCCTAGCACTAATTTTAAGTGCAACGATTGTACTAATGTTCTAGAACTGAAATTTCCATTGGGGGCAGAAAATATCCCACAACTCAATCAACATCATTTAAAAATACTGGTGCATTTTAGTTAATTGTTCCCAATGCAAATTCTAAAATGTCTTCTGATTTGCATATTATTATATTATAGGTATTAATAGAGATTGTAATTCATAGTGATGACGTAAAATAAGATGCACTAATATGAAAATGTTTAAATTCTTAAAGAAATAGAAGTTACATTAATTTAATAATTGTTTAGAAGTCTCACATTGTTCTAAGCTGCAAAAGAGACAATTAAGTAGTCACACATACAAACAGATACAGAATTATAACTATTATTCCAACTACTTTGTCAAACCAGGTGGTAACCTACTGCTAGCCGAATTCAATGGAACATGAGAAACAAATGCAAAAGTAAACAGGCCTAAAGCTGCCTAAAGGAAAGTCAGCAAGATGGCAATTTCAATCATTTGGAATAATACTTAAGTAGCCCTAGGCTTTCCTCAGAATTGAAACATGTCACCATTACTGCAACATTTCAACAAATCAGAAAAAGAAGAAAGGAACATTTATGTAATCAAATCAACTGAAGAGCACAGCATTTTACTCAGCATTTAAGTGAAAATAATTATGAGGAAATTCTGTTTGTGTGAATAACTTTAAATGTACGGAAAAGACTAGTTCTTTTGCAGTTTTGTTTGGAGTTAATACAATAGCTTATTATTTTAAAAATGTACAAAATGCTTTTCAATAATGAGGAACATGGTACATGAAAGAACAGCATGAGATGTGTCAAAAGATCGGTTATTTTAATGCACACTAAATACACATGGCATTTCAAACACCTCTATCAGAAATAAATAGTATGTCATATTATTTGACTGAAAAAAATATTAAAAAATTTGAAATATTTGAGGAACTTACCTAATCAGTACATTTTTAGTATGTGTCTAGTCATGTAGCCATCTTTTACTCAATCATCAGAAAATCAAAGGCAAATTGGCATGACTCAACCTAAACTTTAATACCGCATGATTGTGTCGTGTAAGCTTGTTTTGTGTGATGGCTGCTGTGGTTTTAGCAGAGAGATTAACCACCGGACCTAAGCTGGCCTCCAAACCTTGCCCTGCTGATGCCTCAAGCCCTTTGAAGTCTGACCATCATACCTGGCAAAACAACAGTGGGAACTAGGCTGGTGTCAGATCTAATCAAGTTGCCTGCCTCAGCATAGCTAACTATGGGGTACACTAATTGGCCCAATTGCGGATTATACCTTTTGCTACAGATTCAAGACAATAATTTAGTCAAATGATGGTTTTTATCTCCTTCTAATTAAGATTCCGAAGTAGGAAGAAATAGGATTAGACAAGCTAACTTCAAAATTGTGAATCTTTTAAAAGAGGTATGCACTTGGAACTTCTTTAATAAAATATGGATCATGCAAAAAAAAAAAAATCACAGGTAAACATTTTGGAATAAGCCATCATCTCATTTTCAGCAAAAAAATTAGCAACAAAAATATACACATAAACTTACTTTAAAATACAAATCACAATATTCCTTGCCAAAAATACATACATTACACATCAATTTTAAAGAACACAAACTTTGCTAGTTCTGTCTTAGACTTCAGTATTAATATGTCCCTAACAACTAAAAGTAACAGCTTGCATAATAAACAAAGTCTAATGAAGACATGACAGTTAAGCAGCTTGTTATTCAGCACATGGCAAAGAACATTACAGAATACTTGATTCATGTAACAAAACAACGAAGCATTAAATGGAATTCATTAAAGATGCTACTATTTTATTGCTAGTAGGGTAATGATGAAAATGCTATGGAGGCAGTTTTTATTCTAAATAACCTGAGTTATTTAGACTTTTAAACCATTTTTCAGAGACACTTTCAGCACAATGACTATATAGTAGTACTGAGTACTACTACTTGTCTACAACCTTTTCCCTCTTCATTTAATGTTCGGCTGAAGAATGCTTCAATGTGATATTCTTTCTACTCTCTTTTAAAATGACACACAGCTATACAGATCTGCTGTGCATTATAATGTGTGTTACTTAGTGCTTTCCATCTTAATTTCTAAGTGATGTTATTTCTTCCTTTCCTTGAATTATTAAATATAATTATGATTTTGGTCAACCATTTGCATTAGGAATTTGCACAAGCTATATTTACACTGCCCTTCCCTCGATAGGGAAATGATGCTGCAGTTTAAAAACATGAACAGAAGAAAAATAATGTAGGGCAATGCTGGACATTCAAAGACTATGTTAGGCAGTAATAGGTTTCTCTTCACAAAAATGGGGGAAAAAATAGAAGGAGCACAGTTTTAAATAAGGACAGCTGAAATTATTAAAGCAGGTCATTTATGCATTTCTACAGTTTTAAAAAGAATCCTTAACACTACTACATCAAATGTCTTTAACCTTAGGCTACATAAATTCCTTAAACCAAGCTGCTGAATTTGACTTTCATATCACAAGCAAATAACAAATGACATTGTAGTGAGGAAAAATATTTTCTGATTCAGGATTCATCGTGAAAAAAAATACATGCAAATATAAAATAAATAGAAATTTAACACAGTAGGAAAATACACTGCCTGTTTGTCTGTATCAATAAAAACAATTACAGTTTAAACTCTAGCATGAATATTAAAGATCTTTATTCAACTGATTCACAATATGAATACCTTTCTGATGATGTGAAATTATGTTAAAATGGACTACACTAGCATAGTGTTTAGCTTGGTTAAATGTACTCTTTCCTCAGAATTAAAAATCCCACAGAGGAATTGCCATCTCTTAAAAGAAATACGGTAAAAAAGACACAAGAGTCATACATTATACATTAAAGTAGCTTTTGAATTGAGTAGCTCTCTAGTTGAGAAACTTCAAGTACCCATTGAAGGGAGTGGCCTGGCTGAAAATTGGCTTCTTGATTAACTATTAACTACTTCAATAGGACTAGATAATTAAGGACATTGATGACTATTATTAGAAGGAGGGCACTTTAATTTGTCACTCCTTAAGCTTCTTTCAACATTTTATAGGTTAGTGCAACTTTCAATTGGGGAGAAACAGTGAAGGAGATGGAGAGAGAGAAAGAGAAGCCTTAAGTTATCTTATCAAGTGGCCAGCTGAAGAGGGCAGAGGGTCAAATCAGGGCCAAAGTGGTCACTTAAGGGTGAAATACGAAATACCAAAGCAGTGCCAAGCCACATTGACCATCATTTCGTGATGAAGTAAAAAATATGCTAATATATTGGTGGCAATTCTTCCTTTTATGGTTTCAAGCAGTTAAGACAAGTGGCCTGCTTAACAGCTTTTCATCTGAAAAGAGATTAAACTAAATGATTTGTCAGGGCTGCTTGGCTGTTTTATGTCTTTGTTTAAAAGCTGCACAGACTGTACTGATCACTATCCCTTCACCCCCCCCCCAAGCCATCTCTTTTAGCTTCTCAGCACTTATTTGGTTAATAAATACACAAGCCTGAATTGCTTAACAGTTCTATGTGTATTTGCTTCCCAGAAAGACTAAAACAAAATTAAATTTTCTAAAACTGCATGTGGACTGTAGACTGTCAGGGGGAAAAAGTTTAAAACTGGAACAAAATTTACTAAAGGGTATTAGTAAATGATACTGTGTTTAAAATGACACAGAGAAGCGAAAGGAGATTCCAATAATGCAAAGGAAATGGTTTCTGAATACTGATAAGGACATTTATCCCTCATACCACACTCAGTTTTAGGCAGCATTACACGTTAAAAACCCTCAATTGCAGTAATAACATGTAGACACTTCCCCACTCGCCAACACAAGTAAGAGCAAATCATTAACATTTATTTAAACATGCTCCTGACATCTTTAGAAATATGTATGTCATGCTTTGTTATTGAAGGTTATGGCCTATTTTTTATAAGTTCATTTAAAAATAACATGAATTGTTTCTATATACTCCAATTTTTATAATGCAGAAACATTCTAAGAAAAAAAAAGAATATTCTATAGAACCATCTCAAACTTGAAAACTCAGCTATAGGATTATGCAACAGCTGATGCAAATCAAATATAATTAAACATTCAACGCAAGGTTTTAGTTTCATATTGGATTGTATATAAAACAAATCTTACCTCAATCACAAACAGCTTCCTTTTCAACCTAAAAGCAAGGTCCTTCGTGTCTAACACATCAGAGATCAAGCTATTAAGTCGAGGAATCTGGCGTATGTGAACCAAACCTTGTGAAAAGTAAAAGGAATGGAGGAAAAGAGTTAAGGAAATGCTGATATCCAAATGCGCAAATTAATGTCTTACAGCAGAATTCAGTATATTTACACACACTCATCCTCCCCTTTTAAAACTGGAGCTTACGACCAGGAGCAATGAAGCAAACCGTGCGATTATACTCAAGTAATCAAGCAGAATAAGATAAACAGAAATCCTTGTGCGAGGAAAACTAATTGCACTTTGGTACAGAGGTACTGATGTAAAGAGGGATCTTAATACTTGTCAAAACTACAGCCGGTTTGTGTGTGATTTTCTCTTGTATTTACTGTAAGCAAATATGGCTATCACCTTGCATGCTGCCCACGGCACCACTGAGTGATCTTTATTTTATTAAATGCACCAGTAAGCAGCCAGCAAAGCAAGACTCATGGGCTACTGATAACCAGTGAAGCTCATATGAAAATCATTTTGTTTTGCACTCTGATAATTAGTTTTTTAAAAACTCTTGTAGTAACCAGAATTGCAGAATAGTTTTTTGGATAAATGTTGCAACAACACACACATGCACACACATGAATTATTTTCTGCATGCAAGATGTCTATTGAGCTTGGTGGAATTTTATAACAATGCTAGGCACACTGCAAGGTCTGCATTCTGTCAACTGAGTCTCAAGCTGATTTCTTTTGACAAGGACGCTGGATGATTTCTGTGCAGCTTAATATAGTTTCTGAATAACCAAAGGGTCATTTTCCACAATAGAAAAAGAGAGGAATTTTACAAAATGTAACAACTGAAGTTAATATTACTTTAAGATTACTTTTAAATCTAATGCATCAAGGTAAAAACACTGAGCTATTCAAATGGCATTTTTGTCATACAATCTTAGTTTTTGCAAATTAGCGTTATTATTAGATTTACATCTACCTAATATAATATATAGAGAGCGAAATTAGGAAAACTCCATTTACACAGTTATACAAAACCAGGAGTTAGAATTTTAAAAAATTAAATCATGTGAAAAATGTAAAAATTGATATTTTCACTAGATAATTCAATGTCATAATAACACTTTTGCAAAACTTAGTGCTATATATATATGTTTAGTACCCTTCATTTATACAATCTTAAATACATTGGCCTTAAGCTGGGTAGAGTTACTGTAACCAATTCCCATTCAAGCCAAGAAAATAGGTTAGTTAGCACTACCCTATTTTCAATGGAACATAATTGTAACTAATTTTAGCTGGACTGGAGCCATTACCTGGAAAGAGGTGCCAATTAAGAAGAAGAAATGCATGTGTGAATTAAGGCAGTACACATGCATTCATTGACATCCCCTCTACAACACCTTCAATGCTCAGAGATAAAAATATTTTTCATTTTAAAAAACAACTTCACATTTTCTTTTGGTCAGAAAGTGCCAGCAAAATACACAGTGTTGTTTTTCAGGCATCTAGTATATATTTGGAAGTAGGGAAAAGAACAAACATGATTTGTTCAGTTTTCTAAGATAAATTTGTTGGAAAATGTTTTCACATATTCCAAATGACCGTATTTACCAAAGATTAATTTTTCTCGCATTGGTTAGTGATAAATCTCTGTCTGCTCTTTGTCTTTTGGACAAACTTGGGTGAACATTTTCAGAACATTCTTGGAGTGAATAGGGAGCCATCAACAATAGGTACAGTTGAAAGTGTTACTGTAGTTATTTTACAGTAAGTACCCTGTTTCCCCAAAATAAGACCTAACCTGAAAATAAGCCCTAGTATGATTTTTCAGCATGCTCGTAATATAAGCCCTACCCCCAAAATAAACCCTAGTTAAGTGAAATCCCACCCTCCACCATTGTGCAGCATTGTGCAGCAATCAGAAGATGACATGACTATAAAATAAAACATCCCCTGAAAATAAGCCCTACTGTGTTTTTGGAGCAAAACTTATTATAAGACCCTGTCTTATTTTGGGGGAAACATGGTATAACTTCCAGCTATGACAAGATCAAATATTCTATTAAATATGGTTATGTTTTAAAACAGAGCAAGTCTTCACAAGCCAGTGTTTCAGTACAAATGAATACAGAAGGGCTGTTAGCAATACATAATAATATATGGTGGAGGTTAGAGTGCTAACTGCTCCATCACCAAAAAGATGGGCATGGAGGACAACGAACACCAAAAAGAAGACAATTCTTCAGAAAAATGTGGACATTTTTTCACTAAATTTGCATATGCCAATTTAAACTGACATATGCAAGCATTACATTTTGGCATTATTACTATAATTTAAATGAAAGTAAATTACTCCTTATTATGTTGCACAATACTGTGACTAGGCAACCGCTTGGAACACAGCACTGAGGCAAAGATGGGATATAAATCAAATAAGGCATCATGTTTAATAATTTTCTGAAATGCCCATTGCCTTGTATTTTCTATAAGCTTACAAAATGAAAGCATATTAATAAAGATCACTGTAGTTTTGCTGAAATATTAGTAGGCAACAGTCAGTTTTTTTCCCAGAGGAATGGTCTGAACAGTACTTTCAGAATGACTGACCTCATACCTGTATTTCATATATGACCATAACATGCCATATCCTTCCTGTGAATCATCAGTAACCATATCAGTGTATATGGTTTGTGGCTTTTCTTATAAAATGTCTTCCTGCTCCCTGAATCATTTAACTTAATGGTACTTTAATTTACCAATCAAAGCCTCTTCTGTCCTTGTGCAGCCAGGGATACTCACTGTGGAATAGGGTGTTCACTTACACTTTAAAAAAAAGAGCAGTGGGCATTTGTCACCAAAAAGGAGGACAGCTCTTTAAATGGAGGACAAATGACCACTGCAGCGAGGGCATGTGCATGGTAAGGCAGTGAACCTTGGGCAGAAATACACAAATACAAAATAAATACAGATGCCTTGGCTGAAACGTTTGTGGAAATCTCAGAATGTGTACACAAGATAATATTTGGGTTAGGAAAGAAAAAAAATAACAAGAACACAATATTGAAAGGAAAAGAACAAGAATAAAACAAACATATTATGCAAGACATTTATTTTCTTAAACACATTCTCATTAGAAAGAGAGCTGTAATATTAAATGTATTAGTACAACATTTGACTAAACTAATGCCACATGGGCATCATGGGTTGAAAAAGGGGTGCATCTTTGGTCATTTTTATAGCTTACTTACTCAATAAAAGTATTTCAAAATACTGTCTTATTACACAACAAAGCACAGACTTAACCAGGCTGAAATAAACAAGGTTCTTCCATACTATCCAAGCAGCATTTTTGTCACCATACGTAGAAAAGCAGTCTTACAGACTCAGACAAGCAGCTCAGGCTTTGGATAGTTTTCCATGGAACAACAGTAATGTACAATAATAACACTAGTTATTTCTTTACACTTGCAGCTTTGTTTTGGATTAGCTAAAACTGTCATTCAGCGCTTTGTCTCCAAGGCTTTCATTCTATGCACACCTTACTTGACAATGTCTGATCAAATTTAGTGAGGTTTACTTCTGAGCAGTGAGGCACAGGAAAGGACTCTAACTATCTTTTCAAAATTCCCAGATTGTGTTCCAACAACTTCCACCAAAATCTGTGCAAAAGTCAGACAAACCAGGTCATTAGGAATTATTGATGATAATCTATTAAAAGAGTGAAGTGAAATACATTTCTACAACAAAAGTGCTTTCATAAATTCCTTATATTCTAGTGTAAGCCACCATATGATTCTGCAAAAAAAAAACACAGTAAAAATAATGCAAATTAATTAGTTATCTCAGAAAGCTCTACCTTGTGCTGTATCGTTTAGCTGCGTTTTACTGTTCAGTGGAATATATAACTGTTCTTCATGTACTCTATTTTGAACTTGGCAGATCAAAACTATTGATTTCATGACAATTTCAGCTCAGTGGTCAGATGATTGCCAAGCCTCCCCATCATGTGAATTCCCCAAAGCCTGCCTGTTGAGATGTACATCTGATTGAGCCATGCCTTGCTAATATGGCTTGACAACATGCAAGGAGTTGCCATGTTTCCTTTGCAGCCTTAATGCATTTTAGTGAAAAATTGTCTAAATCAAGATTGGCTAGCAAGATGAACCATTTAAGAGGCATTCTGCAAAATGAAATCAATGATACTTTATAGCAGATATTCCAATTGGCAGGTACCTGCTAAGTGCTCTAGAAGCACTTAGGATAGACTTTTTGCATTGCTAAGGATGGAACTTACCATGGTAATCCTTGTATAATGGATTGGTTTCTCTCTCAGAGCCAATAAATGATTCAAGACCAACTACCGTATCTGACAAGATTGTAACACGTTCCATAATTGCTTTATTCTGTAAAACATGGAAACAAAATGCACAACCTGTGTGATAAAAAAGGTAATTAATATTCTAAGGGCAGGGCTTTGTCTTTTCAATGACAAATTGAAGGGAAAATAGGTCATCAATACCTAGACATTATTAAAATTATGACTTGTAATCTACATCTAAAGAAAAGCATATTGTCTCTGCTAAAGAAATCATTGTCAAATCTTCTCATAAGATTTTTTAAATTACATTTATAATACAGTTTGAATGATATGTTATGCATATATACATTGATAAAGCACAATCTGATCATAGTTAAGCACTTTCAAGTTGTACTCATTTCAGTCATACATTTGAGCATAAGTATCTGTAATACAAAAAGAAAATACATTGCATAATATCTTATGTGTGATATTTTAATGCTTGCATTTAAAGATAAAAACACACAAAAAATTCTCTTTTGCATATGAGAAGGACAGCAAAGGGTATCTGGAGGAAAAACAGGTTTTGAATCCTCTAGTTCAGTAGTTCCCATTCTTAGGTCCCGAGATGTTCTGGAACTACAACTCCCAGAAATCCTGGCCAGCAGAACTAGTGGGGAAGGCATCTGGGAGTTTTAGTCCAAGAACAGCTGGGGACACAAGGTTGGGAACCACTGCTCTACATCCATACTCATAAAAGGATACCACTGGATAGAGCACACTGAGGATGTAAATCTTAACAGCACAAATTTCCCAGGAAATAAGTGAGGTGAGGATGGGAAGATTAAATCAAGGCACATCCTCTTTTCCCTCTCTGATCCGGTGATCAGTAGGAGGCAGGGACACAGATTAAATTCCTTGTTAATAACTAAACTAACTGCGTATATTGTTAAACTCTGATACCCACTAAAATCCAAACAGATCAGATCCAAAAAACAAAAGCTGAAAAGGTGTGTAATTACCAAACTGCACAGAGGCAAAGGAAAATTCTGATGCTATGTAACACATGAACTGGAACATGAAACGGGAGAGGTATGAATCTACATAAACTGAAAACCATTAAGTAACAAATGGGATATATAAACATTACAATGCAATATTATACAAATCAGACACACACATTTTTTACTGTGGAAATGACAAACTCAGAAAAAACAACATGATTCTAATAGTGAAGAGAAATGCAGCATAAAGAGTTAGGGGTTATAAAGCAAAGTTTTACTGGATAATATTGATTGGATTTCTCAGAAAACTTATGCTCCAACTGCAGATACTTAAAAAAAAGAAACTGGAAGCTTTTACACCAATGGCTAGGAAGAAACTGATCACATACCAGAAAGGAATGCCTCTAAGAGTCAGAAACAAAGCAAGAAAATGACTCAAAGAATTCTATGAAGCCTGAGTAGACTTTGTCTAGAGGGGTGGGGTAAAAATCTAATAAATAAATAAATAAAATAAATAAATAAACAACTTGTTCACTGCAACTTGTTCAGGCAACATGGGCTTCACCAGATGGTTAATATACAAAGGAAACAGACTACCATATATACTCGGGTAATAAGCTGACCCGAATATAAGCAGAGGCACCCAAGTTTACCACAAAAAAATGGGAAAACTTATTGACTCGAGTATAAGCTGAGGGTGGAAAATGCAGCAGCTACTGGTAAATTTCAAAAATAAAAATAGATACCATTAAAATTACATTAATTGAGGCATCAGTAGGTTAAATGTTTTTGAAGACACTACCCGTCTGAGCTGCGAGATACACTTTGCTGCCTGTGGAGGGAGTGCGGACCCATACCGGATGCTGCACTTATCTACTGCTCTATTGCTGCGTAACAAGATGGAGGGAGATGGAGGATGAAGGTGGGAGGAGGAAGGTGGGTACATAGAATATGCAGAAGGAGGAGGATGGGAGTGTCCTGGAAGTGGAAAAGCAGTGTACTTAACCCAGGTGATCACCCAGAGAGGCTGCAGGCACCCGTAGATGAGCGGGGGAGTCCAGAGAACACCCGCACTACAGGGCAGAACATGTAATTTTGACACTGACTCGAGGATAAGCCGAGGGGAGTGCTTTTTCAGCAAAAAAAATTGTGCTGAAAAACTAGGCTTATACTCGAGTATATACAGTATAGAGTTAGAAGGATAAGATGAAGAAGCTGTATTCTGTCTGCAAAAACAAGACCAAGACCAGATGATAGTACAGTCCATGAATTCTTACTGTCACAAATTAGAGTAATACTGAAGAAAATCACTAAAATGAGTCTAGTGCCAAAATATAATTTAAATGACATTTCTGATGAATTTAAGATCCATATAAAGAACAAATTTGCAATACTCCATTACATTGCCTATCAGTCAGAGAAATTCTGAATAAAACTAGATGCATTAACAAGGAAGAACACAAAAGGCCTGTTTCTTTAGTGAAACAAAATAAAATAATGATTCATTGAACTCTTAAATTGTTAATGACAGATGATAAGAAAAAAAATAAAGAGTGACCGAAATAGGATTAGAATCCTAAATGAAACTTTCTGTGACTGGCATCTATATAGAGATGCTATTATATAGGATATAGAGAACTATTATAACAATCAAGACGAAGAAATAGAAGAGAACATCAAAAGAGGAAAAATGAGATATCACCTCCATAAGACCCAAGAAAATGAAGAGAATGTCTTAATAAACAGATAAACTAAAGAGAATAGGGAAACAATACACAGCAAAATTATTCAGAAAAGATGCAAGGAAAACAAATTCCTTCAATGAAGAATCTTATGATGTAGAGCCTGCAATTTTAGAAAGTGAAGTGACAGCTGCTGCCAAAGCACTTGGAAGAAATAAATTACCAAGAATAGATGGAACATTAATAGCACTATTTCAAGATATAGAAATTGAATCTATTAAAATCCTAACAAGAATAAGGCAACAAATATGGAAAACAAACAATGGTGAACAGTTTGGAAGCATTTAATAGACATTCAAATTTCAAAGAAAAGAGGCACCAAAAAGTGAAGTAATAACAGTGGTGCCTTGCAAGATGAAATTAATCCATTCCACGGTTAAAGCCATCCAGCAAAAAGTTTGTCTTGCGAGGCACAGTTTCCCACAGGAATGCATTGAAATTTAATTAATGGATTCCTATGGGGGAAAAAAGTCCAAAACAAAAAAACTGAAATAAAGTCACTTACCAGGTACTGTAGACTGAGCCAGGCTCCTCACAGTGCCTTGGCAGCCCCCAAAAAGCAGGAAAAAGAGCGCCAAACAGCTGAGAGCCCGGACCCAGCAGGGAGGTGGCAGCCACTTTGCGCTCTTCTCTGCTCCTGCCCCCCTCTCCCCGCTTCACAGCTGATCAGCTGTGAAGCTTTCCCTGGGCTTGCCCAGCACCGAAAAAGAACTGGAAATAAAAAATTGTGCTTTCCCCCTGCCCCCAGGGAAGCCTCTGAAAGTGGTGCTTTGCCGTGGGGGGGGGACAGGCTTGGCCCCCCTCCGCCCCTCTTCTTTCAGAGGTTCCCCGCCAGTGTTCCCAGCACTATCAGACAACAGCACTGGGGGTGGGGTGAGGGAAGCGGGGGACGAGCTTGCCGCCCACCCCCACCCCCCATGGCAAAGTGCCATTTTCATAGGCTTCCCTGGGGGCAGAGGGAAAGCATATTTTTTTTTATTTCCAGCTCTTTTTTGGTGCTGGGCAAGCCAGGGGAAGCTTCTAAGACCCAGTGCCGATCAGCTGTGAGGCGGGGAGGGAGTGGAGAAGAGAACAAAATGGCTGCCACCTCCCTGCTGGGTCCTGGCTCCGATGGTGCTGGTAAGACTGGTGGGGGACCTCTGAAAGGGGGACCACTGAAAGTGGCACTGTGTGGGGGCGCCCCCGCCCCCGCCTCCACAGCAATGCGGGCCCTGCTTCATCTTGCGAAGCAGGGCCATAGGAATGTTCATCTTGCGAGGCACCAAAACCCTAGCCAGACCCATTCATCTAGCGGGTTTTTCGTGTTGCAAGGCATTTGTCTTGCGAGGCACTACTGTATATCATAATTATGTTAATTTCCTATGCAAGCAAAGTGGTCTTAAAGACTGCAAGAGACCTTTCATACTCCACATATTGTAAATGACAGATGTTCAAGCTCAATTCAGATAAGGAAGAGGCACTAAAGATTGTACTGCAAATATATGTTGGCTACTGAACCACAACAAAGCATTTCAGAAGAAAACCAGATACAGTGGTGCCTCACTTTACGATTGCCTCGCATTACGACGAAACCGCATTATGACGAACTTTTTGTGATCACAATTGTGATCGCAAAACGATGATCTGAATGGGGTTTTTTCGCTTTGTGATGATCGGTTCCCTGCTTCAGGAACGGATTCTTCACAAAACGACGATTTTCCTCCAGCTGATCAGCAGTTTCAAAATGGCCACCAGGTAAATAAAATGGCTCCCTGCTGTTTTCTGGGACAGATTCCTTGCTGCACAGGCACTGAAAATGGCTGCCCTATGGAGGATCTTCATTGGACGGTGAGTTTCCAGCCCACTGGAACACATTAAACAGGTTTAATGCATTTTAATTGGCTTTTTATTTTCCTATTACGTTTTCGTTCTACAGCGATTTCGCTGGAACGAATTAACGTCATAATGCGAGGCACCACTGTAGTGCTTTTTAGATTAAAGCAAAACTATCGATTGTGTGCACCATGAAAAATTATGGATCTTTCTAAACGAAATGGGCATGCCATATTTGATTGTCCTGATATATAACCTATTCTCTGGACAAGGGATTTTTGCTGGAACAGCATGTAAAGAAACAGAATGGGTCCCAATAAACATAGATGTCAGCTAAGGATCCATTTTATCTGCTTATCTATATGCAGAACATACCATGGAAAGTTGGATTAGATTCAGGAAAAAAAGGAGTGAAAGCTGGGGGGGGATCAATAACGTAAGATATGCAGACCCTGTATTACTCATAGAAAGCAGCAATGACTTGAAATGACTACTGATGAATGTGAAAGATGCAGTATTAGAATTGAGCATTAAAAAGACAAAATCAT